CTTTCAGTTCTATAGAGAGATCCTCCCAAAGAAATAGAATGCCCAGGAATGGTTGCACCCTCAGAAGACTAGACCGTGCCTCAGAAAGCATCTGGGTTAGGTTGTCCTTTCCAAGACGAGAGGATGGCTTCATCAAGTTTACCTGAGGTACATTCATGGTTCCTGCTCTGCTGTTACAGGTGCTAAACAGGGGGGCAAGCTCTGAGCCAAATCCATGGAAGGCTGGACTCCTCTGGAAGGTGAACCGAAGCAGCTACAGACGGCTGCCAACCAAGAGCAGGAGGACAGAGAGGAACCTCCTTCACTCCCTTCAGGTGTGTCAGAGGCTTCTTTGTATCTTCCAGGTACAGATTTATTTTTTTACAGAAAGACGGGGACTCAGAAGGATATGGGCTGCAAGCCAATACACTGCAAAGCAAAATAGCTAAAATGTTTTTGTCTACAGTGGGGCCTTGCTTAACGATTGCCTTGCTTAACGAGGAAATCGCTTGATGATTAGGTTTTTGCAATCGCAAAAGTGATTGCAAAACGATGGTTTAAATGGGAAAAATCCACTTCGAAATGATCGGTTCCCTGCCTCAGGAACCGATTTTAGCATTACGACGATCTAAAAACACCTGATAGTCAGGTTTCAAAATGGTCACCAGGTGTACAAAATGGCTCCCCACTGTTTTTAGGAGCCATTTTTCGCTGTGCAGGCACCCAAAAATGGCCGTCCCTATGGAGGATCTTCGCTGGACGGTGAGTTTTCAGCCCATTGGAAAGCACTGAACAGTTTTCAATGCATTTCAATGAGCTTTTTTATTTCACTTTATGATGTTTTCGCTCTACAGCGATTTCGCTGGAACGAATTAACATCATCAAGTGAGGCACCACTGTGTTTGCATTTATGTAGATCTGGAGATAGGAGGCACTCTAAAGATGGCGAGCAGAATATTTATTTATTTATTACTTATTTGTATAAGAACCTAAGAAGAGCCCTGCTGGATCAAGTCAAGGGCACCCTCGAAGTTTGAACATACTCTACTCTGTACAATATAAGGAAATACTCTAATCAAGTCACTTGCCTTTTTTTACATAACCCAGCACATTTAACACAACCAGGCGTCACATCTGTCTTTGAAAAATTAGGTGGGACAATGAAAGCCCACAGCCTTTGACTTATTCAGTGGCATGATTGAAGACTTCATCACATTTCAGATCATTAATTCATTTTCATAACCAATAGAATTTGAGGCTCATATTTTATGTTTTTCTTCCATTTTTCTGTCCCTTTCTCTTCCTCTTCCATATGTCACATCAAGCAGAAAGTGGGGTGGGGTGGGGGAAAAACTCTCTGAAGACAGCAAATACAGACCGGCTTCCCTCGGAAACAACTGTGTTGGCTGATTCTTACACCGCAAAAAGGACCAGCTTAAGGACATTCAGATGTATGAATGCCACTGAGCTGAAGAAAAAGACACGAGCTCAAGAAAAAGACAAAAATCAAGTCCATAGAAAAAGTTCAAAACTTCAAGGCTGACAGTGAAGCAATCCAAATGGTTAAAGAGTTTCTAAACTGCAGTAGAGAATACCATATTGTTTGACAGTAATATCATTTGAGTAATTCCTCATAGAATTGGTCAATTTCAGCTTCTTCAGCATCGGTGGTTGGTGCATAAAGTTGGATTACTATGATATTGAAAGGTCTGCCCTGCCTTGTGGATTCGCATTGAAATTATTCTATCATTTTTGAGACTGTATCCTAGTAGAGCTTTTCCCACTCTTTTGTTGACTATGAGGGCTACTCCATTTCTTCTACAGGATTCTTGCCCACAATAATAGATATGATAATCGTATGAAATGAATTCACCCATTCATGTCCATTTTAGTTCACTGACGCCCAGGATGTCAATGTTTATTGTTGCCATCTCTTGTTTGACCACATCCAGCTTCCCAAGGTTCATAGATCTTACATTTCAGCTTCCTGTGCAGTATTTTTCTTTGCAGCATTGGACTTTCCTTTCACTTCCAGGTGTGTCCGCAGCTGAGCGTCCTTTCGGCTTTGGCCCAACCACTTCATTAGTACTTGTAGTCCTCTGCTCTTCCTCAAAAGCATGTTGGACACCTTCCGACCTGAGGGGGGGCTCATCTTCCAGCGTCATATCTTTTAGCTTTTTGTTTCTGTCCGTGGGGTTTTCTTGGCAAAGATACTGGAGAGGCTTGCCAGTTCCTGCTCCAGGTGGATTGCGTTTAGTCAGAACTTTCCAGTATAATCAGTCCATCTTGGTTGTCCCTGAACAGCATAGCCCATAGCTTCTCTAAATTATTCAAGCCCCTTCGCCACAACAAGGCAGCAATTCATGAAGGGGGTATTTTTATTACCTGTGCGTAAAGGTATGTTTATGATGGCTATCCTACGTGCATCTTTTGAGGTAACCAGACATCACTTGTCAGCCACTAGACTCCTTGTTCTTTTAGTTCCACCTAAAAAATTTAGGACTTTGACAAGAGAAATGTTTCCTGGATATGAAGCAGGTTGAAACTCAGGTCAATAATGAACGCCATGTAAAATCTTCTCAAGCATCATTTTTCCCAATATACCGCTGAATCCTCAACTCATTTTAAATTATCTTCTTTCAGCACATGAAACACAGGAGAAGGAAGGAAGACTCTATGGGACCTCGCCAGGTAGAGAGGAGGAAAAAGAGAATGGTTGTCATGGAGATGAATCACAGAAACAGGAGGGAAACGAGGCAGACCAGAGGGGAGACATATCTCACCAACATCCATGGGGCCTTGTGAATGAAGAAGAAATGACAAACAGATCCCTCGGTGTTCTTCAAAGATCAGAGTTTGAGCAAAAGAGCCCTCTGAGGAAAAGACCTGTGAAATGTCTAAATTGCCACACAAAAGACAAAATGTGTTACTGCTTGCAGCATAGAAAGAATTCCAGAAGGAGTCCAGAAGAAACAAGATTTCACTCAGAGGAGAATTCTGACAAATGCTTAAGTTCTCAAAAATACTTAAACGTTGGTTCTGACCTTGAAGTACCTCAACCAGTGCACTCTGAAGAGAAACCCTCTCAATGCATTAAAGGTGGCATGAGTTTCAGTGGAAGTTCAGGACAAAAGGCACATCAAAGAATACACATGGGAGAGAAACCCCATAAATGTTCTCATTGTGGCCAGGGCTTCAGCCGGAAAGCACACCTTAAAGATCATCTGAAAATTCATACAGGAGAGAAACCCTTTCAATGCAAAGAATGCGGGAGAAAATTCACCCAGCGCTCAAACCTGGTAATACATCAACGTCTTCATTCAGGAGAAAAACCCTATACATGCAAAGCCTGTGGAAAACAATACAGTGATGCCAGTAATTTTAAAGGACATCTGCAGACTCATTCAGAGGAGAAATCTTATCAGTGCAAAGAATGTGGGAAAAAGTTTGGGCAAGAAAGAAACCTTATAAGACATCAGCGAATTCACTCAGGAGAAAAACCTTATGCATGCAAAGACTGTGGCAAACGTTTCAGTGATCCCAGTAATTTTAAAGCACATCAGAAAACTCATTCAGGGGAGAAACCCCATGAATGCAAAGAATGTGGGAAAAAGTTCAGAAAGAAAGGAAACCTAACAGAACATCAGCGAATTCACTCAAGAGAAAAAGGGTTTACACGCAAAGACTGTGGAAAACGGTTCCAGTATCTCGCTGATTTTACCGTACATCAACTTTCACATTCAGAGGCAAAGCCCTACAAATGTGATGAATGTGGAGAGGGGTTCAGGAAGCTTTCACACCTTAAAATACATCAGCAGTTTCATGTAGGAGAAAAAAAATATCTGTGTGAAGAATGTGGGAAACAGTTCTACTGCCTTGCAGACCTGACAGTTCATCAACAAATTCACTCAGGGGAAAAACCGTAAGCAGACGAAGAATGTGAAAAAATTTTAAGTGATCCATTGGGTTTTTTTTTTTAATCACATCAGGACTTTCATTCCGAGGAGAAGCCCTTAACACTGTGAAATATGTGAGGGGAAAAATGCAAAGCTAAGTTTATGCTTCACAGAAAATCAAAACATACCCACTGGGGAGAAACCTTTTAAATGTATAGAATGTGGGGAAAAGCTTCCACCAGAGTTCAGGTCTTAAACAACATAAAAAAATTCACTGAGGGGAGGATGTGGAGAAGGCTTCGGTTGTAGAGTGCAGTGCATCAAACACCAACAGATTCAGAAAGAGGAGAACCTTTGAAAATTGCACATGGGGGGCCCTCTGCACCAAACCAGACCTGAAAAAAGATCAGAATCTCTGTGTGGGGAAGAGGACATGATTGTTGAGGTTTGAGGGAGAGTTTGGATGATGAATTAAGGCTTTGTCAACCTGTGAATGCGTAGAGGAAAGAAACCGTATGGTGGCTTTGAATGTGAGGATCCCCTCAGCTTCACAGAAATCTTCTCTTCCTCCAAACGATCCACGAAAAACACATCTCCCTTCTGTTTTACAACAATAAGTAGACGGCTAACAGGGCTGTTTCTCTGAAAGAACTTCTGAGCGACAGAAGATGCTTAGAGCAGCAGGATCTGTTACGTGGAACTCCTCGCCTCGTGTTCTCTCATTCTTTGACTGTTTTAACTGTATGTTTTACTGCGATGGTTTTAATAGGATTCTACATCCATCATTTTATGACAATTGTCTTGAAACTGAAATAAATGCTCAGACTGCAATGAGACGCCTTTGAATCAACAGTCTGGTTTATGCAAACAGGGATCCTGGCTGGGCCAGTGTGGAAAATACAGATCCGACCTGAGGAAGTGATGGTAACAAAATGTGTGTGTGTGTTCTGTGCTGTCAGGTAAAGGTAAAGGTTCCCCTTGACATTTTAATCTGTCGTGTTCGACTCTAGGGGGCGGTGCTCATCCCCGCCTCCAAGCTGTAGAGCCAGCGTTCATCCAAAGACAGTTTCCGTGGTCACGTGGCCAGCACGGCTATACACGGAACGCTGTTTACCTTCCCACCGAGGTGGTCCCTATTTATCTACTCGCATTTACATGCTTTCGAATGCTAGGTTGGCGAGGAGCTGGGACAAAGCGACAGGAGCTCACTCCGCCACGTGGATTCGATCTTACGACTGATGGTCTTCTGACCCTGCAGCACAGAGGCTTCTGCGGTTTAGCCCGCAGCGCCACCCCGTCTTCTTCTGTGCTGTCAAATTGTATTCAAATTATGACAAGCCTATTAGTCCCCTCAAGGTACATGAGATATTTGATTAGTTTTAGCTTAAATATCTCCACTACCACCACTTCCTTCAGTTTCCATGGCCAAGTGGGTATTCGAAGCCTGTCTCCTGAAACCCAGCCCAACACATTATCAGTAGTAGGGTAATGGTAGCTTTATTCAAACTCAAATTTGACAGGTGCCACGCCCCCTTTTGGACCTCTGCAGTGGAAGGGGAGGGACTTCCGGCGTCTAGGCTCAACCCAGGCCCCTTCCGGTGGAAGGGGAGGGTCGAGCGGTGACGTCAGGGGTTGTGGGGGTCACCGTGGGCCTATAGGGGTCTTTTCCTAGAGTCCGGGGTCCCCCGTGACCCAAGAGTGTCCTGAGGATTGGTCCCCGAGGGGTTGTGTCCCCTTCTGTGTTGTCAAACTGTATTCAAATTATGACAACCCTATTAATCCCCTCAAGATACATGAGATACTTGCTTAGTTTTAGCTTAAATATCTCCACTACTACCTCTTCCTTCAGTTTCCATGGCCAAGTGGGTATTAAAAGCCTGTCTCCTGAGACCCAGCCCAACATATTATCCACTCAAGCACCCTGGCTCTCTCATGAACCAAGATTCGCACCTGCTTTCTTCCTCTTCAAACTCCCTTTCTACCTGAGGCATATTTATTTTAGCACTCCAGACAAAATCCACTATGCCTTGTTTATTTATATTCTATGTCCCATCTGCCACCACTTTTTTTGCTATTTCCCTGGCCATCCTGGTATAGCACTAATATGAAACATAGGAAGAGCCTCGTGGCACAGTGTTTAAACTGCCATACTGCAGTCAAAAAAATCTGCTCATGACTTGAGTTTAATCCCACCCCCTCCGGGCACAGGTAGCCCGGGTCTAAGTTGACTCAGCCTTCCATCTTTCCCAGGTTGGTAAATTACCCATTGTTCTGTGAGGGTGAATGTGTAGCCTGCATAATTAAATTATAAACTGCTCATAATACTGTGTGAAATATCTTGATATTGTTCCCAAAGCCCTGATCACGATGGGGACCACTGAGGTATGTTTCATCGACAAGCGAGATGTTTCAATTGCCAAGTCTCTGTATTTTGTTTGTTTGTTTTTCCTATTCTTTATCTTCAACTCTGGCATCTCCTAGAATTGCAATGTCAATTATCCAGACATATCTTTGTTCTATTATGACCATGTCTGGTGTGTTATGTTCAAGCTGCCCATCAGTTTGGATCCAGAAATCCCACAAGAACTTGCTTCCTTATTTTCTGATATCTTTTCAACCTGACGTTCCCATGGGGTTTTTTTGGAAGCTGTCAAGTTATACTTTTTGCATAATGATCAGTGCACTAATTGTGCCACTCTGTCATGTCTATTTTGTAATCTGTTTGTGCAATCTCTGGACATTCGTAGATGAGGTGTGACACAGTTTATTGTTGTTGTAGTGGTGGTGGTTGCCTTTTTAGGGTGCCCGGATGTAATCCACTAGTCAATAGCAGGTATGTTGGCAACTCTTTGAGTCCAAATCCCAAGCGGGAGCCTGAGTCTTTCATAATGGAAGCATCCTTCAGTCTTGAGAGACTATGGTAGCGTGCTCTGAATAGAGGTATTTCATACCAAGTCCCTATGGAGGATCTTCGCTGGATGATTAGGTATTTAGCCCATTGGAATGCATTGAACTGGTTTTCAATGCATTGCAATTTGTTTTTTTATTTTCGCTTGATGAGGATTTCATTCTACAGTGATTTTGCTGGAATGGGTTATCCTCATCAAGCGAGGCACCACTGTATTGTTGACTTTAACAGAGACTATTGTAAAAATGATAGAAGTGTTTGAAATGTGCACACCTCGAGGTGCTAAGGACGTCATACACTGAGCAGATACAGTGGACCCTCTACTTATGGAATTAATCCGTATTGGAATGGTGGCTGCAGGTTGAAATGTCTGTAGGTCGAGTCTCCATTGCCCTACAATGCATTGAAAACCGATTAATCCCATGACCGGCGGTTTTTGTTCCATTTTTGTTCCATTTTGTTTTTTTCTGGTCTGTAGGTCGATTCTCTGGCTGCAAGTCGAACCTAAATTTTGCGGCCAGAGAAGTCTGTAACTCGAAAAGTCTGTAAGTCGAGGTTACTCGGATGCTTTTGAACGCTGTAATTGATAAATGACTACTAAAGGAGTCTAAAATAAACTACTAAATAAAGACCAATAAATCTTAAAATACAGAAGCATAGAACATTTCAGTCCCATATGAGGAAATAGAGATCATTACAGTGGATTATTCAGAATAAAATCAGTGGCCCAAAAAAACACTCCAAATAGAACTTCTTAGGTGAAGACTTTAGAAGGCTGGTTCAGGTGTGACGTTACATCACTATTTAGAGTGGCTGCATCCAAATTAAAATAGCCAGGATGACTGCAACCTTTAAAAGTTAGTTATATTTTAATCTTTCTTTTTTTCCCACCATTTCGTGGAATCCTACTTCTGCTAATCAGAAATGGGCGCTACTTTAAAAAAAAAACACACAAATTGTTCAAAATAACAGGAAAGGACCACAAGGAAGCAATGCTAAGAGAAATGGTTAGGTGCAGTTTTTCAATGGCGTTTTTTAAAAAATCTGGGATTATTTTATCGTTGCCATTGTTGTGAGCCGCCTTGGGTCCCCTATGGGGGAGAAAGGCGGCATGTAAATAGTACGAATAAACCCTTGAAGGTGTTCTAGGCAGAGATGTTGATCTTCTAAGGGTTAAAGTCATAGAGAGCGGTGCTTCCTAGAAAGGCAGGAAATGAGCGGAAAGGCAGCATGTAAATAGCACAAATAAACCCGACACCCTTGAAGGAGTCCTAGGCAGAGATGTTGGTCTTCTAAGGCAGTGGTTCTTAACCTTTGTTACTCGGATGCTTTTGAACTGCAACTCCCAGAAACCCCAGTCAGGACAGCTGGTGGTGAAGGCTTCTGGGAGTTGCAGCCCAAAACTCCTGAGTAACTCAAGGTTAAGAACCAGTGTTCTAAGGGTTAAAGTCATAGAGAGCGCTGCTTCCTAGAAAGGCAGGAAATGAGCGGAGGAGGGTGTCTGGTAGTGGTGGAGGAGGCTGAACCTTGCAAAGGGATCTGGCAGGGCGACCGGAGGGGTGGTTGTGGATCTTCTGTGCAGGGAAGAGAGCCGCCTTTGGAAAGCAAGGGAGATCTGGATCTACCTTACTTCCCTTCCCTGGAAGGGGAATCTGACCCGGATCTTTCCCATCCCCAGGGAAATCTGGTGAGTTGCCCGCCTCCCTGCCCCATTCCCACGTGCAGCATTTGGGTGCAGGGGATCCCCGGCTCTGCAAGGCAAGGCGAGGCTGGAAGGCGGGCGGTGGGGAGGAAAAGCCAAACCCACTTGCAGTGGACCTCCAGACCCTCCGTTCAGGGCCCCAGTGCTCGTAGAGAAAGAGAAGCAAGCGTGATTTCCCAGGAATAAGACACGTGTTGAGGGTTTTGAGCAACAAGGTGTTTGCCCCCCCCCTTTAGGGCTGGCAAATGTATTTCAGGGTCAACATTTGGCGATTGTAATGCACTTTTTTCTTTTTTTAAAAAAAAAGGCACATGAGCTGTGATTTGGTGGCATGCACTATGCATATGAATTTAAGGTGTTTGCCCCTTTAGGGCTGGCAAATGTATTTCAGGGTCAACATTTGGCGATTGTAATGCACTTTTTTCTTTTTTTAAAAAAAAAGGCACATGAGCTGTGATTTGGTGGCATGCACTGCACTCATCTATCTGGTCGGATCAGGACCACACAGAGAGGGGGGGGGGATTGGAATCCAGGTTGCCATACTGTTGAAAGTGACTGGACTATACCAAAGAACGAATAATGGTGATCTTATGCTGTCAGGTTGATTCGAATGTGTAGCAGCTCTTTCCAAGGACTGCCTAGGTCGTGGTTTACCAGTTCCTTCCTTTGAGGGTGTTCGGGGACCACCATGTGGCTTGCCCAAGGTTACGCAGGCTGGACGCTGCCCCTGGAGGCACCCTGGGGAATCCAGACATGATTGAGACGTATCAAATTCTGAGGGATAAAGTGGATGGAGGGAAGCTCTTTTTTTCCCCATCTCACACAATACCAGAGCTAGGGGACATCCACTCCGATGGAGTGTGGGGAGAGTGAGAACAGACCAAAGAAAATATTTCTTGAACCAGTGTGGGGTTTGTCTGTGGAACTCCTTGCCACAGGATGCAGTGATGGCATCTGGCTGAGATGCCTTGAAAAAGGAGATTGGACAGATTCCTGGAGGAAAAGTCCATTGCAGGGGACAAGCCATGATGATGGGGATGTATAACCTCCAGGCTTTTAATGGGAAGGTCCCTCCAAATGCCGGATGCAAGGGAGGGGGATCAGGAGACAGTGATCTCTAGTTGTCCTGGGTGCTCCCAGAGGGATCTGGTGGGCCCCCCCATGAGATCCAGGAAGCTGGTCTTAGATGGGCCCTTGGCCTGATCCAGCAGGGCTCCTCTTAGGTTCCTTATCTACTCTTTCTCTGGCTCTGAAGCCGGGTGCCCCAGTCACTGAGCTACATAGCAACAAAGTAACCTGAATGTGTTGTAGGACAGTGGGTTGTACTATTAGATATTTTATTAGTGTTTCTAACAACTGCTGGGCATAGATTAAACCAGACTTAAATGCGGGAATATAAATCAAAACAGATCTGCGAGGTGGTTGTCTAAATTCCTCTTGAATGCCTCCAGTTTTGGACCGTTCGCCACCTCTCCAGGTTATGGGCTCCATCGTCATACTGCTCTAACAGTTAGGAAGTTTTTCCTGATATTCAACCGAAATCTGGCTTCCCTTAACTTGAGCCTATTGTTGCATGTCCTGCACTCTGGGATGATCAAGAACAGCTCCTGCCCCTCCTCTGGATGACAGCTTTTCAAATATTTGAAAAGTGCTATCTCCCCTTAGTCTTCTTTTCTCATGGCTAAATACACCCAGTTCTTTCAGTCTTTCCTTACAGGGCTTGTCTTGTTGTCTTTGTATGGTGTGGTATCCCCCCCGACAGCAGATTTTTGGACAGAGAAGAAAGTGCCTCCACACCAGCGATGTTGGAGGCAGCTTTGGATTGTGGATTAACGATGGAGCGACAAGACCCAGCGTGCCCCAAAGTAGGGATAGGCCTCCGTATCATTCAGGTCAAGAGTGGTGAGGAATTCTGGGAAACCCTTGGACAGAAACCATTAGAGGATGACCCTCTCAGCTCGGAGCAACCACGTGAACAGTTCCGGCAGTTCTGCTATCAGGAGGCAGAAGGTCCTCGAGAGGTTTGCGCCCGACTCCATGATCTTTGCTGTCAGTGGCTGAAGCCAGAGCAATACACGAAGGCTCGAATCCTGGACCTGGTGGTCCTGGAGCAGTTCCTGGCCATCCTTCCCCCGGAGATGTCCAGCTGGGTGAGGGAATGTGGAGCAGAGACCACTTCCCATGCGGTGGCCCTGGCCGAAGGCTTCCTCCTGAGTCAGGCAGAGGAGGAGAAGCAGGAGGTGAAACGGGAGGTGAAGCAGGTAAGAATGGTAGCATCACCACTTTTGTAACGTACATAATAAGATTTTGGCCAGTAATGCAAAAATATAAGCAGAGACTCAAATCAGGGGGAAATAATCCAAAATGGAAAAGTATACACACCACATTCTCCTACAACTAGTTCTGCTAGAGCAGTGGTTCTCAAACTGGAGTCCCCTGATGTTCTTGGACTGCAGTTCCCAGAAGCCTTCAGAGACTGAATACTCAAAGCTAAGTTAAGATTTCTTAATTTGGGGTTAGAAAGGGGGGTCTTATACACGGAAAAATATGGCAAATCTCGAAATAAAAAAATCATTTTGGCTACTAGGGGGCAGGTTTTTTCATTTAAAAATAACTGATTTCCTAAGAATACAGAAGGACCCCCGAGATGGTGGGGAATCAGTTCCAAGCCCCCCTGCAAATGCAGAAGAACAAGGATTACAGTGGTGCCCTGCATAACGAGCGCTTCATTTAATGACGAATCCGCATAGCAATCGCATTGCGATGTTTTAAATAGCGAAAAATCGCTTTGTGACGGTCGGTAAGGTGTTTCACTTACCGATTTTCACATAGCGATGTTTTTCCTAACAGCTGATTGGCGGTTCGAAAATGGCTGCTGGGTTTAAAAAAAGGGCGCCCGCTGTGTTTTCGTGCCCATTCCTCGCTTACCGGGCAGCAAAAATGGCGGCCGGATGGAGGATTTTCGCATAACGGTGAGTTTTTTGCCCATAGGAACGCATTAAACGTGTTTTAATGCATTCCTATGGGCTTTTTCGTTCTGTATAGCGACGATTTTTCTGAAACGGATCATCATCGCTATGCGGGGCACCACTGTATAGTGAAAGCTATTTTAATAGTGATGGTCTTTGTCTTCCCCAGTGGCCAGTTGTGGTAATGACATAGTGGAAGTACATTTTTCTAGCAAATACTGTATTATAATATGTTGCATGGTCTCTGGCTCCCTCTAGTGGCCAGTTCTGGGAACATCTTTAGAAATATATATTTTTAGGATTTTTCAGACTGTGGATAAGTGAATCAGTGGAGATTGGTCCTGCAGATAATAGGGCCCAACAAGCTCCAAGGCTAGGGATATCCTGTCTCTCTTTTTTCTCTTTGCGCCATTCCTGATCTTTTTTTCAGGAGCCAGGAACATTTGTAGAAGTGCCGGCCAGTCTCCCAGAGGCAGAGAAGTTTCCATGTATGCCAGCAATAATGTCTCTTGATTGTGGTGGGACAGAAATAGCTTCTGAGCATCAGGTAAATAATCACTCCAGGAACTGAGAAGGTGCCAGCTGCCCTTTCTTCTTTTCTGCTTCACATCTCCCTCAGGCCTGAAAAGGACTCAGGGCTGACAGCTGTGTCTGATCTCACAGGGAAGGCAAATTCAGTCCAGGTGTCAGTTCAGATTTGACAAGAGCTATCAACATTGCTTAAATCTTATCCTCAAAATGGGTTTGGAGCATCAGAGGCTGCCTGTTAAACTTGCGACTAAAATCTGTCCTTGGGGAACTAGAATCAGCATCAGTCCATGTAGGGCCAGCCCAGTGAGCAGACTGAGTGTGGCAGCTGCCTCAGTCAGCAGATTTAGCAAGTGCTAAAAAGGTATCAAACAACTGGCTACTGACTTCATTATTCTTATACAACGATGAGAGATAGGAAAAGTTACTACAGTGGTGCCTCGCTTAGCGAGCGCTCCATTTAGCGATGAAATAGCTTTGCGACACATTTTTTGCGATGTTCCCTATGGGGAAATTTTGTTTCGCAATAATCGGTTCCCTCCTTCGGGAACCGAGCATCGCAAAGCGACGATTTTAAAACATCTGATCGGCGGTTTCAAAATGGCTGCCCGCTGTTTTCTGGGACGGATTCCTCGCTCTACACCCACCGAAAATGGTCACGCTATGGAGGATCTTCGCTGAACAGTGAGTTTTAAGCCCATTTTAATGCGTTTCTATGGGCTTTTTAATTTCGCATTGCGACGTTTTCGTTCAACAGCGATTTTTGCGGAAACGAATTAACGTCGCAGTGCAAGGCACCACTGTATTTTGGACTGCAGCTTCCATGGTACCCCAGCTGGTGGATTATGCGAGTTGTTGTCCCAAAAAAAGTTGAAATCCTGTTAGCTTTTTCTGCAGGCGGAAAGCAGATGGCATAACATTCACTTGCTTCCAGTTGGCAATTAAAGAGTCCCTGCTGGGATTCCTGAGAGGTGCCAAGTCAGCAGGTGCCCACAAGCTCCCCAGAATTGCAGCAGTGACTCTTTAATTGCTGGCTGAAAGAGACTGGATATTGTGCCTTCTGCCTGTATAGTTGCACAATGAAATTTCAATCAATGCTTCCTTTCTTTTTCTTTCTTTTTTTTTAGGGAAAAAGGTTCCAAAATGTTTTTTCGGCCCTCCAAGACAAAATAACTGGCTGGTTTTGGCTAACGTTGGTTTGAATGTGGGTAGCTAGCAGCCACGTTTTCTACTCTGTCTCAGGCAGCACAAAATATTGAGCCAGCTCTCCCCAGTTTTATCATAGGATAATTGAGTTGCAAGGGGCCTCTAAGGCCATCCAGTCCAACCCCCTGCAGGAATACAAATCAAAGCAGATCTGCCAGACAGTTGTCTACATTTCTCTTGAATGCCTCCAGTGCTGGAGCACTCACCACCTCCCAAAGTAATTGGTTCCATTGTTGTACTGCTCTAACATTTAAGACGTTTATGTATGCAAGTGCCTTTATTCCCTGAGCTTGAATGGATTTTTTTCCCTCTTTCTGTCTCTTCTTTGCTTCTACCCAAGTTGCCCAGGTAGGAGATTAGGAATGTTTCTTGGGCTGTCTTAAAAATCTGCAATGTGATTCTCAGTTCCCTTGCTTGAATTCCTGGTAATGCTTAAATGAGGAAGGACTGCCCCCATGAACTGTGAGACGGAAATATTTTCTTCTCATTCAGGGTCCCTCACCCTGTAAGGAGGAAACTGCGTACAGCAAGGAGGGGAAGTGGACCCTGCTGGATCCTGTCCGAAAGGCCCTGCCCAGGGAAGACATGGAAGAGAATTACAAGATGGTCACCTCTCTCAGTAAGGCTCTCTCCATTGCCAAAGATCATGACACACAACAAATGGCCTCTTTTTGTGCTGTCCTTGCATTTCAGCATAATTATTTCCTTTTTAAAAAAAAAAAGCCATACTGACATGGTAAGCTGGCTGAATAGCTCAGTGGCTTAAGTATCTGGCTGTGGAGCCAGAGGTTGGGAGTTTGATTCCCCCCATTGCCCCCTCATGTGAGTAGAGGCAGCCTGGGTGGCCTTGGGCAAGCTGCACAGTCCCAGGGCTCCCCCTAGAGGAAGGGAATGGTAAACCACCTCTGAGTATTATCTACCTAGAAATCCCTGGAAAAGGTTGCCATAAGTCAGAATTGACTTGACAACACATGATGATGATGATGATGGTGACGACTTCTGGGTGGGGTCTGTTCAGATAAACTGTTTATCAAGCCATCATAGATGGAGTCAGTTATGAGCCTCAAAGACTGTTTTGCTTGCTTCTGAAGGATATGAGATGCTTCAAAACAGTAGCCTCGTATGTGTTTGATGGCCTCTTAAAACAAAGCCATTTTAAATCATTTTTTGAAGGTCTGGAAGGAGGGGGTGTGATATGTCTTATTTATAACGAACTGTTTACTAATTTATTATTGTAGCTTTGTTATATGTTTACATGATGCTGTTTTAAGCTACCCAGACTAGTGGTCTGGGCCACCAGATGGGTGGGGTAAAAAATTTAAGAAATAAAATAAAAATAAATAAATATTGGGGAAATGTTTCACTCCAAAAATCACCCTGTGGCCTCTAGCAGTGTGGAAGTGGTACTCCCAGTATCCTTCGTGACCCCTTTCTAACCCACCACTCAATTACAAAATTGATGTTTAAAAATGCCACTAGAGAGCACAAGTCTTCCCATACTAAGAATATATATACTGTGTATTTGTGAGAAAAAAACTAGGGTTGGAGTTGCAGGAGTGAGTGAAGTCTCCCACCCCAGTTCCAGAGATGGGTGTGTGCGGCCCTCAGATCTCTGAAGGCTGCTTTGCACAAAACCACTTCACGGTGCAAATGACAGTTTGTTTAATCCAATTGTTCCCAACTTTGGGTCCCCAGATGTGCTTGGATTGCAAATCCCAGAAGCTTCCACCACCAGTTATGCTGCCTAGGATTTGTGGGAGTCATGGTCCAAGATCCAGGTCTATAGAGCCTGTGTCCTGAGCACACTCCTTTACTGCAGCAAGTCCTGGACCCTTTGTGCACAGCTGAACCCCTTCCATATGCGTTGCCTCCAACGCATTTTTTTGGTATCACTTGCCAGGACAAAGTTCCAAATAGAGTAGTCCTAGAACAAGCTGTAATTTTTAGCATGTATACATTACTGAAACAGTGATGTCTACGTTGGCTCGAGCATGTCGTGAGAATGGCTGATGGCCGGATTCCAAAGGATCTCCTGTATGGAGAATTAGTGCAGGGAAATCGCCCCAGAGGGAGAACACAGCTGCGATTCAAGGAGATCTGCAAGCGGGATCTGAAGGCCTTAGGAATAGACCTCAACAGATGGGAAACCCTGACATCTGACCGTTCAGCCTGGAGGCAGGCAGTGCATCATGGACTCTCCCAATTTAAAGAGACCCTTGTCCAGCAGGTGAAGCCAAAGAGGAAGTCTTGAAAGCAGCAAAACCAGGGAGCTGGACAGGGGACAGATTGTATTTGTATTCAGTGAGGAAGGGATTGTCACTCTTGAATTGGCCTTCTCAGCCAATGGTTCTTAACCTTTGTTACTCGGATGCTTTTGAACTGCAACTCCCAGAAACCCTAGTCAGGACAGCTGGTGGTGAATGCTTCTGTGAGTTGCAGTCCAAAACTCCCGAGTAACCCAAGGTTAAGAACCAGTGTTCTCAGCCACACTAGAGGCTGTTCCAAGTCCTTTGTTCAGAACACATTACCATCATCTCTCGAGACTGAAGGGTGCCTAATGAATGGTCCAAGAACATCTTCGTTACCCAAAGTTGGGAAGAACTGGTTTAATACATGACATGACTTTCACTCTTTTTCCATTCTCTTGCCTCACAGCAGCAGTGATGGGTATTATTGCTGTGCTATCCGGCTGTCTTTCAATCTTGGACTCTCACAGTTCTCTCGTTTATTTCCAGGAGGTGACGGATGGAAGAGCAGGAGAGAACACAAACTGTACAGTATTTCTTTGGAAACAGGCAGACATATACAAAGGGCAGACCGGAACACGAAAACTGAAACAAAAGAGAAAAGAAGGGATGGATCTCAGAGTGTTGGTAACATCTCTGAATTCACACTTGAAGAAAAGAGATGTAAAGGAAAAGAAAGCAGTCGGTGCCTTTTGTGTGAGAAAAGTTTCAGTAGTAAATCAAGTCTTAATCTTCATAAGAGAACTCACACAGGAGAGAAGCCGTATAAATGCTTGGAGTGCGGCAAGAGCTTTGGTCAGAGCGCCCACCTTACGTCCCACCAAAGGATTCACACCGGAGAGAAACCCTATGAATGCTTGGAGTGCGGGAAGTGCTTTAGTCAGAAGATAACACTCACTTTTCACCAAGGATCTCATACAGGAGAGAAACCGTACAAATGCTTTGACTGTGGGAAAACCTACAGTCGAAAGTCGTACCTGACGAGGCATGAGCGGAATCATACGAGGGGGAAGCCCTACAAATGCTTGAAATGTGGGAAGTGTTTCAGTCACAGCCAAAATCTACATTCGCACCAGAGAATTCACCGAGGTGAGAAACCATATAAATGCCTGGACTGTGACAAGAGCTTCAACCAGAAGACGAACCTCACCAGACACAGAAGAAGCCACATGGTGGAGAAACCATAAAGAAGCATGGAATATATTCATCCCAGAGGGCAGGGCATGTAATAATGGGTTCAACCTACAGGAAGCCAGATTTTGGCTGAATGTCAGGAAAAACTTCTTAACTGTTAGAGCAGTGCGACAAGAGAACCCATTACCTTGGGAGGTAGTGAGTGCTTCAACGCTAAGAGAACCCATGACCTTGGGAGGTAGTGAGTGCTTCAACGCTGGAGGCATTTAAGAGAAAATTGGGCAACCCTCTGTCAGATCTGCTTTGATTTGGATTCCTACACGGAGCAGGGGATTGGACTCAATAGACTTATAGGCCCCTCCCAAGTCCATTATTCTATGGGTTGATGAACATCCATCAGTTTCTGTTACAATAGCTCCAGAAACATGACCTTGGGAGGTAGTGAGTGCTTCAACGCTGGAGGCATTTAAGAGAAAATTGGGCAACCCTCTGTCAGATCTGCTTTGATTTGGATTCCTACACGGAGCAGGGGATTGGACTCAATAGACTTATAGGCCCCTCCCAAGTCCATTATTCTATGGGTTGATGAACATCCATCAGTTTCTGTTACAATAGCTCCAGAAAATATGTTTCATGTTAGAGACGTCTGTGCAATTTTTGTACAATAAAATGTAAACAAAAATAGAAAGTACCTTGCATATGGGAACACAGGCAAATAATGCAAATTAGGAAGAGCCGTGCTGGGTCAGATCTGTCTAACATCTTGTTACACAAGAGGGCAGCTAGAACACTGCTCCTGTACTTTCTGGGAGTTGTAGCTCATCTGGAGGCACCCTCTATAGAGCCTTATGGGCAGAAAAACTATGAATCCCAGCTTGTTCTGTTCATTCGCCCACACTAATCCCTATGTGGCCAGCAGGGGCCAGGCCCTCATTGGCACAAGGGATGCTGGAGATGGTAGTCTTGTTGCTCATTAGGCTCTATCTTAATGCCTCCTGAAGAACTATGACTCCCATGAAGGACTGTGGCAGTTTTTCCTTTTTTATATATGTATAGTTAAGTCTGGAAGAGAAGCATGTCAGTGCTAAAGATAACTACAGTTGTCCCTCGCTTGATGATGTTAATTCGTTCCAGCGAAATCGCTGTAGAGCGAAAACATCGTGAAATGGAATGAAAAAATCCCATTGAAACGCATTGAAAACCCGTCCAGTGAAGATCCTCCATACGGTGGCCATTTTCAATGCCTGTAAAGCGAGGAATCTGTCCTAGAAAACAACAGGGGGGCATTTTGAAAGCTGGTGGCCATTTTGAAACCTGACGATCAGCTGTTTACTGATCGTCATAAAGCGAAAAATCGGTTCCCGAAGCAGGGAACCGATCATCGCTAAGCGAAATTCCCCCATTTAAAACATCGTTTTGCAATCACAAAAACAACATAATGCAGATTTGTCGTAGAGTGGGGTAATCGTACAGCAGGGCACGACTGTAATCATAAAGCAGTTTTTGAGCAGAGCTCAAAATCTGGAGATCTGCAGATTTGTGTTGTGCCCTCAATTCCCCAGAATACTGCCTGTTTGTTTTCAGAGAATTTTGGAGGGTCACAATCTAAAAATACAAAAGAACACACTCTTAGCCATAAACCTTGTTGTTGCAAGTGAAGCACCTTTTCCAAACAATTTTTGCTGCCTGTCCTAGATCCGTTGCGATTGCTGGTAGTACAAGTAATGAAAACTTACTCACCCTCGTCCAGTCCATGACTGATACCAGACTGATCTCAAGCTGAAGGAGCTTCCTTGGATTTAGTTGGCAAGGAGAGGTAGAGTTGGGTGTCCTCGGCATACTGGTGACACCGAACCTCGAAACTCCAAATAATCTCTCTCAGTGGTTTCATGTGAACGCTAAATAACACGGGAGACAAAATAGAACCCTGAGTGACTCCACAGGTCAGCGGCCAGGGTTTCAAACAGGAGTCTCCCAGCACCACCATAAAACAGTGCCCCCCAGTCCCATTCCAGAGAGATGGGTCAGGAGGATACTGTGGTTGATAGTCTCAAAAGACACTGAAAGGTCCAGCAAAAACAAATGGATACAGATCCCCTATCCGGTTCCCAGTCTGTAGGTGATCAAGGCAACCAGAGCCATCTCTGTCCCATAACCAGGCCTGAAGCCAGATTGAAATGGATCTAGATAATCTGTCTCATCCAGGATCCTCTGCACCTGAGAGGCCGCAGCCCACTCTAGTGCCTTCCCCAAGAACGGGATATTAGATACTGGTTGGTAATTGTTTGGTATTAGTCAGTGGGGTCCAAAGAAGACTTTTTAAAACACTATTGCCTCCCTTAAGCATGACAGGATCCCACCCTGTTTCAAGGAGGCATTTGCCACTCCTCCTACCCAATCAACTAGTCCCTTTCTGGAGGCTTTTATGAGCCGGGACGGGCAAGGATCCAACAGTCCTCACCTCCCTAAAGGTTCTGACCACACCATAAGGCTGCAGAAACTTAAAATCATCCAATAACACAGGGGAAGCAGAGGGCACAGTTTCATTCACAGGACCTGAAAATGCTACAGCATCTAAGTCAGAACGGATCTGAGCAATTTTGTCTGCAAATTCTTGTGTAATTTCTTTGCAGTGAGCTAGTGTGTTCTGCATTATCTACCTGGGGCCTAGCATGTAACAGGCTCCTGGCCATTCAAAGAAGTTCCACTAGGCAATGCTTGGTCACTAAAAGAGTTAAACTGGCTTCTTCCACACAACACACACACACCTTGGGATGTGATCGATCACACCTCCCATCATCCCCCAACCAGAAGGGAGGAATATGGCTGTCACATTCTTGTACACACTTCAGCTTTTTGTCCCCTTTCCACCCTGGGATATGTTGAACCGCAGCCCCCATCCTCCCAGCCAGAATGGGGGATTATGGGTGCAGTAGTAATTCCGCATTTTTGGTATCACCTGGCAGGGCAAATAGAGTATTCCTAGAATGAGCTGGGATTTTTAGCATGTATACATTACTGAAACAGCAACATCTACGTTGGCTCAGGGATGTCGTGAGGCTGGCTGATGGTCGGATTCCAAAAGATCTCCCGTATGGAGAATTAGTGCAGGGAAATCGCCCCAGAGGGAGACCACAGCTGCGGTACAAGGATATCTGCAAGCGGGATCTGAAGGCCTTAGGAATGGACCTCAACAGATGGGAAATGTTGACATCTAAGCGTTCAGCCTGGAGGCAGGCGTTGCACCATGGCCTCTCCCAATTTGAAGAGACCCTTGTCCAGCAGGCCGAGGCAAACAGGCAGTTCCGGAAGCAGCAAAATCAGGGATCTGGACAGGGGATGGATTGTATCCATCTTCAGTGTGGAAGGCACGGTCACTCTCATATTGGCCTTCTCAGCCACACTAGACTCTGTTCCAAGACCTCTATTCAGAGCACGTTACCATAGTCTTGAGACTGAAGTCCTCACTAAGTAGTTTTGCATATACTTAATTTCTCCCCCACCATGTTAGTATGTTGGTTACCCAATTTCTATCATCCCCAGCTAGTTAGTATTAGGGAATATGGCATTGTAGTCCCACCCTTCTCAGCCCTCCCTTTTTTCCGCACTCAGACGTGCTGGACCCACAGTTCCCATCATCCCGTGAGCGTCCTCATCCCACACAGCTCAGGCTCCCGCAAGGTTGGGAGGTGCTGGAGCATAACCCCCATCCTCCCCAGCCAGAATGAGACAGAGGGGGAGCCTGATAGTCCCACACAGCTCACTTTCCCTCTCTCTCCCTCCCCCAAACAAGGTTTCAAGAATGCTGGACCACAACTCCCATCATCCCCCCAGCCAGAGCGGAGAATTATGAGAGCCAACCGGAAGCTTTCCTTCCCCGACTGCTCTCCCCCTTCATCCTGCCTGTCCTCTCTAGGAACTCACTTCCGGCCACTCGCTTTCCCCTCCACCTTCGAGGACCCCCCTCCTCCTCCCACCCTGTCGTCCTTCAGGTCGGGCGGGCGTTCCAAGCGCCGCCCCCTCCACAGCCTCGGGGGAGCCCCCTCTCCTTCCCGGCATTCCTTGCGGCGCCGAACCCGCCCCACTTTCTGCTCAGCCCCCCCTCCCGCTCCTGCCGCCCCCTTCCCTTTGCAGGGGAATCGCTGCCCTTTGTCTTCCCCACCCACGAGGAATCGGTGAGCCCCCCCAAAAAAATAAATTATGGGATGCCAGGGACCCCCAGATCTGCAGAAGGGGTAGGGAAGGGCAAGGGGGTCAGGATGGGGGGTGCTTTGATGTGTCTCTTCCTCCCCCCCATAAATGTCGATCTCTTTCCCCTTTAGATCTACAAGGGGGGAAGGTTGCAAAATGGAAGGGAGGAGGGGGTTTATCTGATTATTTCCCCCCAGGAGGAAAGTGAGGGTGCTTTGCTCTGACCCTTACCCCCAACCCCATACATTTTGATGCTGTGACCCATAGATCTACCAGGGAGGGGGAGTGCCCCTTGGGAAATGTGCAAGGGCACAAAGTGATGAAGGGTTTTTTTTTTGGAGGGGGTGTCTCCAGGAGGAAAGGTGGTTGGGGGTCCTTTGGTCTGATTCTCCCCTCCATTGGGCTTTTCATTCGGGGGGGGACCCATAGATTTGCCATGGAGGGAGCAGGGGTGGCCATGGCAAGGGGGGAAAGTGAGGAGGGGGGGTGCCACGATAGGTGTCTCCCCTTCCACCCCATGCATGTTGATGCAGAGGCTCCACAGTTCTGCAAGGGAGTGAAAGGGGTGGGTGGGTGTCCAGAAAAGCAAGGCAGGACGGTGAGGAGGGGGGGCTTTCGAGGATCTTCTCCCCCCACAACATCCGCATGCATTTTACACCCAGATGTAGGGGAGGATTGCTGAAACACTCTGGATGAGCCAGGGAAGGGTGTGGGGTTGGGACCAACAGGGAGAAAACCTGCTGGCCATAGGCCCCAATCCCCCACTTTCAGCCTATGAGCTGATCCACTGGAACCAGGAATAAATCCTAATTTCTGTTTTTCTCTGGCACCCTGGAACGTCTTGAACGAATTTCATTGGGCAGCCGGTTTTGGGGTGCAGGAGAGGGTGGGGAATCCCAGATCTTGGTTTTTATTGTCCCGTAGGGTTTTCTCCCCCTGGAAGGCTGTCAGGCATTTGGCGCTTCAGACCTGAAAGGGTGTATAGGACCCAGAAGGATTATTTTTAAAAAAAATTAAAATTTTTGCAGACACCTTAATTGGCCACACCTGTTAACTGGGCCTGAGGGAACCCATCTTAAGGAGGATTAATACCTCCTTCAGCTGGATAGCAGAGTTCAGAAAGTTTTTTTTAGACTCGTATGGTGACAAAAAAACCCTCTTTTCCCAGTTCTCTAAAATATTCTGGAAAGCCTGATGACCTCAGTGAGGTGCTGTGGATATGGAGTAAGGGGGGGAAGGGAAGCATCCTAATTCTGATGTAAATCAGACCTCTTTGCCTGCTGAAAGAAAACAAAAAGGGGATTTTAAAGACCCCCATCATCATCTTAAGCTTCTCTGCCTGAAGGAACCAAGAATAACAGGGGTTTGAGACTGGATAAGAGGAGCAAGAGAGAAAAAGAGGGTAGTTTGAGTTCTGGAAAATTCTAAGTTTCCTTACAGGTTATTAAATGTGGATAAGTGTTTTTTTTTAATTGCTCTAATTACCACAGTAATTATGTTCTCAGCCCATGTGTTTTCCATCTGTATTTAAAAAGAAACGCCTCAAGTATTACAGAATCGCCTTTAAAGTAATTCTTCCTTCCAAGGTGAGAGATTTGAAGAGTGCATAACATTTTTTCTCTTTTGGAGGATGAAATGCAGGTAAGTCTTACCCCATTTTTCGGGTGGGGGGAGTGAGAGATTTGAAGAGTGCATAACATTTTTTCTCTCTTTTGGAGGATGGCCATGTGTTCCTTGTCACTCGAGAGAGAGAAACCTATTTTAGTTGTCATCATAACCTTTGGTGTGCAGCAAATGACTAATAAAATGCACACGTCTTCAAGTTTTCACAAGACTCGGTTTCTTGAAACCAAACCTGTCTTTGGTGGGGTAGATGGTATTGTTTTTCTTTAACAAACAAACATTGCTGAACCCTATTACTAGTATAATTATAACCTTTTTTTTCCCCATCTCACTTGGTGTCCTCCACCACATCGTTTTTCTACTGGAACCTGTGGTTTAATTTTTGAAACTCTGTGTGTTCAAGGAGATGGATTGTAATCCATGAAACCAATGCTGAAATATATCTGTTCACATGGCTCTGAAAATGATTGCCAATGTAATTGGTTGTTGAATATCGAAAGTGGCCTCCAGTCCTTGAGAGTTTATGCCAAATGATATGTTAATTTTTAAGGTGTCACGGGCGGCCAAATTCCAGAGCTTCGGAGGTCCATATATACCTCTTTCTGTATCCGGAAGGGCCACAACCCCTCGGACACCACACAACGTGTTCAATTTTCTTACAGGGAGCTTTTAAAAGACCTGGAAACACCCCCTTCTGCCCTCTAGTGATCTAAAAGAATTTTAAGGAAAAAATTATTGGTGTGGTAAGCCTTTAACATTATCCACTAGAACACTGTTTCTTAACCTTTCTTACTCAGATGTTTTTGGACTGCAACTTCCAGAAGCCTTCACCATCAGCTCTGCTGGCTGGGGTTTCTGGGAGTTGCAGTTCAAAAACACCTGAGTAACAAAGGTTAAGAACCACTGCACTAGAACAAGGGGATGTTGTGAGCCCAACCAAAAAACGTTTGTGACTGTTGTTTTCTCAATGCAATAGTTCCCAGCCTCAGGTCCCCAGCTGTTCTTGGACTGCAATTCCCAGAAGCCTTCACCACTAGCTGTGCTGGCCAGGATTTCTGGGTGCAGGAGTCCGAGATCATTTGGGTGAACAAGGTTGGCAAGCAGTGGCGCACATGTGCTCCGACGGTTATGGTGGCTGATGTCTCTTTAATCTGCCATGGCTCCATTCTCTGAAACCCTGGGGTAGCTTATCTGGAAGTTGCGTCGTGGCAACTGGACTTCTTTCTTGTAAGGCTGAAATGTTTTGCTTCTCATCCAAGTAGCTTCTTCCGTCTGAAGAACCTCAACTTCCAGATAATGACAACTGGATGACTGAGAACCTTCACAGATATATTGCCTGGGATATGCTCCTAACAATTATTTATGGAATTTGTCTCCCTAAGAGTCTGCCGCGCCTGAATGTATATTATAGTTGTATTGATTCTGTTTATTCTTATGCAGTTGTTCTGTGTTATTCACATCTGATATATTGATCATAAAAATAAAATAATAGTATAGTATTGCCTGGGATAGTTTGTTTAGTGAAATGGTTTGGGGTCTGTGCCAGTTCAGCTACAGGCAATGAATACTAGTCCCCCTCTATTCGGCACTGGTTAGGCCCCATCTTGATTACTGTGTCCAGTTATGGACACCACACTTAAAGAAGAATGCCAACGAAGAAGAATGCCGACAAACTGGAGCAAGTTCAGAGGAGGGCAGGAAATATGATGGGGGAACTGGAAACCAAGCCCTAGGAGGAAAGACTGAAAGAACTGGGCATGCTTAGCCTTGAGGAAAGAAGACTGAGGGGTCTACCGCTCCGAGTAGACGTTGTCTAGAGGAGCGGGGTAAAAATCGAATAAATAATAAATAATAAAATAGGATAGCACTTTTCAAAGGCTGTCATACAGAGGAGGGGCAGGATCTGTTCTTGATCATCCCCAAGGATAGGCAATAATGGGCTCAAGCTGCAGGAAGCTGGATTTCAAATGAATACCAGGAAAAACTTCCTAACTGTTAGAGCAGTACGACGATGGAACCGACAACCACAGGGGGTGGTGAGTTCTCCGGCCCTGGAGGCATTCAAGAGAAATTTAGATACAGATGAATACCAGGAAAAACTTTCTAACTGTTAGAGCAGTACAACGATGGAACCAACAACCTCAAGGGGTGGTGAGTTCTCCAGCCCTGGAGGCATTCAAGAGAAAGTTAGACAACCCCCTGGCACATCTGCGTTGATTTGCAGGGGGGTTGGACCGGATGGCCTTAGAGGCCCCTTCCAACTGAATCTATGAATTCTGAAAACCCTCACTAGAACCGAAAGCCCCAGGATTCCCATAAGACGGAGCCATGGCCATTAAAGGAGTGTTGCATTGCTGTAAGGTAAAGGTTCCCCTTGACATTTTTAGCCCAGTTGTGTCCGACTCTAGGGGGGCGGTGCTCATCCCGTTTTCAAGCCGTAGAGCCACCGCTTGTCCAAAGACAGTTTCCGTTTCCACGTGGCCAGCGTGACTAGGGAACGCCGTTTTACCTTCCCACCGAGATAGTACCTATTGATCTACTCGCATTTGCATGCTTTCGAACGGCTAGGTTGGCAAGGAGCTGGGACAAAGCGACGGGCGCTCACTCTGTCGCATGGATTCGATCTTACGACTGCTGGTCTTCTGACCCTGCAGCACACAAAGGCTTCTGCGGTTTGGCCCACAGCGTCACCACGTCTCTCCTTGCATTGCTGTAACTGTGTAGCATAGAGACACACTTTGACAGTGAGGCATGGATGGGAATCTCATTCCCTCTCCTACCAACCCATGTTTCCTGTTCTCCAGGGAGGGCTGGGTGCTGTTCCACAGTTGTCTGTCCCACTTTTATCTTCCCACCAACCCTGTGAGGAAGGTGTAGGCAGAGAAAGAAGGATGACTAAGGAATAGAGATGGGATATCCATCACTTCTCCTCCTCCTGGGGGAGACGAATGCGAATATTGCTGCCACAGGACAGCTGGGCCGATGGGACCCTCCCCACAGAAGGGGCCATCCACTTACCACTTGCGGTCCGTCGTGCACAGCCGCTGTTGTTCATGCCCGCCTGCACTGCTGACCAAGCACGGCTGTTCCCCGCTTCCCTGCCCTGCTGACCAATCCGGCAAGGAGGCGGGAGGATGACTCTCCCTGCTCAGCTGCTGAGGGGTCAGCAATCCATGAAGGCCGGGAAGCCCCCGGCCGAACTACTTCCGTGATGGGTGTGGCGTGAAAACCGACAGCCCTGCGCAGTGTGCCACAGGTGGATGGCCACTTCGGGGGAGAAGGGGCCAAACGGCCCAATCACCTGGTGGTGCCAATATTCGTCTTTGTTCCCCCCCCCGGGGGAGACGAATACAAATATCCCATCTCTGCTCCATTCCTCCCCAAAGACTGCCCTATTCCTGCCCTCTAACTACTCTATCTCACTCCCCAATGCATTATGGGGTTGACCTTCAAGGCAAAGACCCCAGTCATGGCCTGGAATCGGACTTCAAAACACGATTCCGTGCAAAGAATGTTGGTAATTGATCCTTTGTGGGATTTTTTTTCCCCCCTTGGGTTTCCAGGACTTGGCATTTCCACTTCTTGGAAAGTGTTGTTCCCGAGGCTCAGATCCAAAGATGAATGAGGAGGACCAAAGAGAAGACGTCACAGAGGAGAATTCTGGGATAACCGACTCACCAGGTAAGATGCCCTTTTTCTTCACGACATGGGAACTCTGGCTGAAATCCTGTTGAGCAGTAACACAAATCGCGTAACTTTTGGAAGCAAACTAGCATAGGTTAAGCAATCTCCATAGACGTTTTCTGTCGCATATGGCGTCTGTAATTTTATCCATCTTATTTATAGGCCGCCTTTCAAGAGGACCCAAAGCGGCTCACATTACTAAAAAGAACAGAATTAGAAACACAGCAAGTTATTTTTTAAAAGCACTTAAAATGTAAAACTGATCAAAACACAATTGAGTAATGTAAAAAGGATAAAACATTAGAAAGCTGTCACAACTTTAAAAGTGGCATGCAACATATAATGCTTATGAAGATGCTTATGGTCTTAACTTAATGGCAATTTGCCTCTAAACGTTAGACTATTAACCCAACTGTAATCCACTTTTTTAAAAAATCCTCAGGAGGAACTTGGAACCGATCCCTGGTGGATGGGGGGGTGTCTTATGTATTTATAGCTAAAATCAATGAGTATAGAAAGGAAGCTTACATCATTAAAAGATAAGAAAGCTAAACACAAAAAGTACAGTGGTGCCTCGCTTAACGGGTGCTTTGTTTAGCGACGAAACCGCATAACTTTTTGCGATTGCAAAAGCGATTGCATTGCGATGTTTCCTATGGGGTTTTTCTGCTTTGCGATGATCGGTTCCCTGTTTCGCTTACCAATCATCGCAAAGCAATGGTTTTTTAACAGCTGATCAGCTGTTCCATAATGGCCGCCGGGTAAAAAATGGCTGCCCACTGTGTTTTTGCACTGATTCCTCGCTTTAGAGGCAGCGAAAATGGCCGCCGTATGGAGGATCTTTGCTTTAAGGTGAGGGTTTTTTTGCCCACAGGAACGCATTAAACAGACTTTAATGCATTTCTATGGGCTTTTTAAAATCACATAGCGACGAAATCACTTAGCAGCAATTTTTGCTGCACGGATTAACGGCGCTATGCGAGGCACCACTGTATACAGATATTAAAATGGAACAAACACAAATTCTGAGAAATGGTAACATTAATTATTGTAAGCCGCCCAGAGACCTCTGGGTAGTGTGGGCGGCATATAAATTGA